TGAAAACATATAAGAGTAATTACATTGCAAAAGTAATAAAATATTCAAAAATCACCTGAACATTTTCAAAAAGCCACCTGAAACAAGTATAACCAAGATACCACCTTTAGCCAATAGATCCAAGCAGCACATTCAGGAGAAATTCTATACGAAATTTTAAACAAACCACTAATGAAAACACAAAATCGTAAGCTATATCTCTAAAAGAATTTTTTACCAAAACATGTTTTTCTCTCTAAAATTTAATGTGCCTAACTATTTAGCACATCCAGAATAATACACAAACACCAAGAAATGACCCTCGAAAAAACCCATATATGAGTAATTAGATTGTAAAAAGAAAAAACATCAAAAAACCATTTAACATTTTCCATTTTACAAAAGATAATCAAAGATATCAAATTTGTTAATAGATCCTCATATTCTATATACTCATCACTCAAATTTTGAACAAAATCATTTTTAAAAATGAAAAAAATTGTACTCATACCTCAGAATTTTAACAAAATACGTTTTCCTCTGAACTAATGCCTAACTATTTAAGCACATCCAGAATAATACACAACACCAAAAATGACCTCGAAAACCCATATATAATTAAATAAAAAGCAATTAAAATATTCTAAAAAACATTTAAACATTTTCTAAAAGCCATCAAGTTATAATCAAGATAACAAATTTTGCTAATGACCGCAAGATCATATCCAGAGTACCTACATTGAAATTTAAACAAAACCATTTTTGGCCAAAAATGAAAAAAATTAAAGTCTATATCCTTAAAAATTTCTTAACAAAAACGTTTTCTCTGAACAACCTATTTAGTATCCAGAATAAACACAAGCACCAAGAAAATGAACTCGAAAACCATAAGAGTAAATTAGATTGAAAAAGTAATTAAAAATATTCAAAAATCATTTGAACATTTTCAAAAAGCCATTTCAAGTTACAATCAAGATATCAAATGGAACAGATCCTAACAAAACATTCAGGAGTACCCATACTGAAATTAAACAAAACCATTTTTGGCTAGAAATGAAAAAAATAAAGTCTATACTTTAAAGGATTTGGCCAAAACACGTTTTCTGAACTAAAAAATTTAATGTACCAACTATTTAAGCACATCCAGAATAATACACAAGCACCAAGAATGACCTCAAAACCCACAAATGAGAATTATACTAAAAAGTAATAAATATTCTAAAAATCATTTGGAACATTAAAAAGCCATTTGAAAGTTATAATCAGATATCAAATTAAACAGATCCCACAGCATAATTCAGAGACTATACTGAAATTAACAAAAACCATTTTTTGCCGAAAATGACGAAAAACTGTAGTCTTATACCTCAAAGAATCTCCAAAAACACGTTTTCTCTGAACTAAAATTTAATGCGCCTAACTATTTAAGTACATCCAGACACAAGCACACCAAGAAATGACCCCGAAAACCCATATGCGAGTAATTAGCATTGCAAAAACTAATTAAAATATTCTAAACAATTGGAACATTTTCAAAACACATTTGAAAAGTTATAATCAAGATATCAAATTTGCTAACAGATCCTCACAAAAATATTCACAGAGTGTTTGCATTAATTTGAACAAAATCATTTTTTATTAAACAAAGAAAATTGTAAATTATAGCTCAAAAGGATTTTTGACCAAAAATACGTTTTCTCTTCTGAAACTAAATTTCTCAATGTGCTCAACTATTGAAGTGATCCAGAATAAGACACAGCACCAAGAAATGACCTCGAAAACTATATGAGTAATTAGTATTGCAAAAGTACTAAAATTATTCTAAAAATCATTTTGAATATTTTCTAAAGCCATTGAATGTTATAATCAAGATATCAAATTTGTTAATAGATCTCAAAATATTTATAATTTATACTGTTTTTGAACAAATCATTTCGCCGAAATGATTAAAATTAAGTCTAGCCTTTAAAAGGATTTTTACAAAAACATGTTTTCTGAACTAAAATTAATGTGCCTAATTAAGTACATCCAGAATTAGGCTACACCAAGAAATGACCTCTAAAAACCCATATGGGCGAGTAATTAGTATTGCAAAAGTACCAAAATGATTTCTAAAAAACGGCTTGAACATTTTCTAAGTCATTGAACAAGTGGTGCAACTTAGGCCAAATTTTAGAAGCTATCAGATCCTTAAGCAGCACATTCAGGAGCAATTTTATACTGAAATTTTGGAACAAAATCTTTTAGCTTGAAATGATTGAAAATTAAAGCTCATAGCCCAAAAGGATTTTTGGCCAAAAAGATGTTTTTCTTCTGACCAAAATTAATGTGCTTTCAATTTAGAAAGGCATATCCAGAATACAAGCACCAAAGAATGAGACCTCAAAACCCATGGTGGCGAGTGAACATTATGTAAAAGTATCAAAATATTCAAAATCATTTTGGAATATTTTCAGGTGTCATTTAAATGTTATAATCAAGATATCAAATTAAGATCCTTAAGTAGTATTCAGAGTACTCTATATCAAATGGAACAAATCATTTTATTTAAATAAAGGAAACAAAGTCTATATAGGCCTATATGATTTTTTGGCCGTGTCATGTTTCTTTTCCTCCTGAACTTGTACTTTCACTGTGTGCTTCTGAATCTTATTTTTAGTACATCCCGTGAATAATACACACACCAAGAAAAGACCCTCCATTTTTTGGCCGAAATGAAGAAAATTGTAAGTCTATAGCCTTAAAGGATTTTTGGCCAAAAATACTTTTTCTCTCAGAACTAAAATATAATGTTCCTAACTATTTTAGTACATCCAGAATAATACACAAGCACCAAGAAATGACCTCGAAAACCCATAAGTGGCAAAATAGGTCCAAAAAGTCCAAAAACAAACGAAGAAAAAATACGTTAGGTTAGGTTCTGCAGGGTTTTGTCCAACTTGGACAAAATTGGTTGGAATATGTCCGACTATGTCCCAGTAGGTCGAAATAGGATTCCGCCTCAGAATACGGTATGATTCCGCCCAAGAATAGGATAGGATTCCGCCTCAGTTTACGGTATGATTCCACCACAGAAGACGGTCGGATTCCGCACACAAGACATAAGACTGTGGATGTGCACCATGGTGTGTTAAGCACATAGCAAGGTTCGTAATTACACTATTCTAACGACATTAAACAATTGAACGAGATAGAGTATAACTCTGTATGAGTTAAAAAACATTTAATTCACTTATCATATACAGTAAACAGTTTATAACAATGATATAACAAATATGGACATGCCTGCTTATTGACTTAAACATCTACAAGTACAGGTATCATATAATAAATTCTTCATACAAAAATATTACTTCTCTGTACAGTAATTTAATACACAAACTAAAAGGCAGAAATCTAACTAAAACAAGCATTAGAATCTTCTTAAAACTATAATTTGCAATTCTGATCAGAACATCCTAAGGAACTTTCTCCATTTTAATGCTCAAAGCATACAGTACATATATGATTCGGAATTGTAAATAAAAAAGAACACATAGATAGGGATAGCCGTTGATTAATCTTTACAAAGTAAATGACAGTTTTGGTTTTCAAAATAACTGAAATTAATTTGAATACAGTAGAGCCAAATTTGCTCCGTTTCATTTAAGACGTCATTTACCTTCGTAATATAGTCAAATTATATCTGGAGTATGCTAGATAAGGTATTATGTACGTATATCTAAATGATCGTCTATGGTCTGTCAGAAGTTCCAAAGAAAAGAAATACATAAAAATTATCAATATTAAGCAATTTATATATATATATATATATAAGCTAGGCTACACAAAATAATAACTGCATGGGACTAGATTACCACAGTGAGAAATATAAATGGAAACTACACTAGGCTTGGGTATCAGCTGACAAATATATTGTATTTAAATCAAAGTGACCTCCACTGCAGGATGACCTTCGACTATACTGATGATGCATTGTCTCAGTGTTAGTTAATCTTCCTGATAAATTAAGTTTTACACTATAACTTTCCATTGGCCTCATCAAAGCTCTTCTTATTCTAAGAACACTTTTATTTCATTTGTAAGTAAAATAAGTCAATTATTCATGGAAAGTGATGATACTCGAAACAAACTGACAAATCATTGCAACTTTGTCTTTGGTTGATCTAATTGATCATGAAACAAAAAGCTTTAATTGTTTGGATCTGCTCTTAGTGGGAACTCGGTGCTGAAACGAGTTGTGAATAGTCTAAGTATTGTGTGGAAATAAATACTGTACACAACTTCGTTAAATTTTTCTAGAAGACTTTCTTTAACCCCTCCCCTCCCCCAAAAATTATAAATGGATAATTACTAATACAGTCTTACTGTACTGTCAGTGATACCAGATTAATTCTTATATTTTACTCTATGAGGCAGGGTCAAAGATGGATTCACATAATTTTCATTGGGTGTTTGTTTTTTTTCAATAGGATTTGAGCCTGCTTGCCCAGTTTCTCATCAAGAACGATCAATCTTTTTTTAACTTCTGAATGTTCTCAAGAATGAACAAGGATGTAATCTTTCACTATATACAATTTGCATATTCTTCTTTTTTCACAGTTGTTCAACGTTCTCAATTTCACACACTATACTGTACACCATAGTTTCAGCTGAAGGTTTGAAAATGACACTTGCTGGATATCTTACAAGACATAAATAACGGATTTCAATTGATATGGGGATGTTCTGTCTAGCCTAGTGAGGCATAGTTGGGGTCGAGGTGACCCAGATGAGGCTTGATGCTAACTTGTAGATGTGGTGATACGTGTATCGATTATGGTGGAGAGTTCGATGATGGTGGAGAGGCTGCGTTTGTTTCGTGCAGGAGGGTGGCATGGTGAGGGGTGTAGTGAAAGGGGATGGGAGTGGCATGGTGGTACTGTTGGGGATGGAGGGGTGGTAGATGGTGGATGACATGGAGATCAGGCTCAAATGCATTTCTGTGAAGTGGTACGCCAGGGTGACCAATAGCAGCATTTACAGGGTAGAAAAAGGGTGCGTCCTCGCAGGCGAAGTTGTACCACCAGTCGCACACGAAGTACTTCTGGTTAAAGATGGTGCCATTTGGGCACAAGAAGGAATCTTGGCGGCCACTGCGGTGACAGATGTGGAACACCTGTGTAGATAGAGGGATTATACTTACTGTAGGTAAGAAAAAATAACAAGTGAAAATACGAAGCAATTATTCAGAAGGGTGTGCAGAGGACACTGAAGTAGTGAACGAATTGGAAGGAGGCATACTGTATGTGCAATTATACAAAGCAGACGGACGGACATACACTTACTTATCACTGAATAGCGAAATAGATTTGAAACTATAGTCACGTATAGGCCACACAGTCACTGTACAAAGTCTGGTGAAATCGAGGGAAAGTTGACAGAGTGTGAATAAGAAGAATATACAAATTTACCAACTAAATGGCATATTCAACACAAAAAACAATGGAGTTTTTATTCAGATAGACTACCATCCATGGCCCAAGTTTATTGGATATTGAACAAACGATGACCGAAACTATAGTACATAAAACAAATTGAGCATGAAAAAGAATATGAAAATTGAGTACCTAAATTGTAAATAGACTCCAAAAGTAATGTAGTATTTGTTCTGGATAAATTAAACCTTTCACTAAATTCGAAGAAAAAATTATTGAGATATAAGGCTAAGGAACTTTTAAATGGACGGAAAGAATACACCTTTTCACATATCCGTTGAGACATTGTTACATAACTATTTGACAAATTTCATAACCGAATGCCAGAACACATCTCGAATGACAATCTAAAATAATTGTTCGTTCAAACTAATGGAAGTGACTGACATAAGTTATGAAGTTGACAGACGTGAACAATAAACCGACAGTCTACATATAGTTTGAGAATGTAACAATTGGAGAATGACATACCACCAACAGTTATTTTAGATTGTCATTCGAGATGTGTTCTGTCATTCGGTTATGAAATTTGTCAAATAGTTATGTAACAATGTCTCAACGGATATGTGAAAAGGTGTAGTGCAAGACAAATGCTGAAAAATACATGAAAAGGCAGTGTAGAAATCACACACACACACGTGTATCCCGTTTGTTTACACATTCAAATTTAATCCTAAACCTCAACAATGAAGCATTAAACTATACAGTACATTAATTCCATAAGACTAGCCATGATACTAATACAGTCACAGGAAGCGTTTCTACTGTAAACATCTACTACTGTGTATCATTCAATGACGTCAACATACAGTACTGTACTTTATGGGTGGGGCAAATCTTATATTCTTAACACCACATCCACTGAGTCATGAGTCACATTGTATTATGAAGGTGCCAGTACTTACCTTATAGTAATGAATACGGATCACCATTACAGGACCAATGGTGTTAGTATAATGGTACACTGTAGTGGTGCTAGTATACTAGTACACTGTAGTGGTGCTTGTACTGTATAATGGTACACCAGTGGTGCTAGTATAATGGTACACTGTAGTGGTGCTAGTATAATGGTACACTGTAGTGGTGCTAGTATAATGGTACATCATAGAGATGCTAGGACAATGGTACACCGTAGTGGTGCTAGTATAATGGTACATCATAGAGATGCTAGGACAATGGTACACCGTAGTGGTGCTAGTATAATGGTACACAGTAATGGTGCTAGTATACTAGTACACTGTAGTGGTGCTTGTACTGTATAATGGTACACCAGTGGTGCTAGCATAATGGTACACAGTAATGGTGCTAGTATACTAGTACACTGTAGTGGTGCTTGTACTGTATAATGGTACACCAGTGGTGCTAGTATAATGGTACACTGTAGTGGTGCTAGTATAATGATACATTATAGAGATGCTAGGACAATGGTACACCGTAGTGGTGCTAGTATAATGATACACTGTAGTGGTGCTAGCATAATGGTACACCGTAGTGGTGCTAGTATAATGGTACACAGTAATGGTGCTAGTATAGAGCCACACTTACCTGACAGCCAGCCTCCATGTCAGCATAGTAGCCTGGGTAATCAGCTACAAGGTCACAACCGAAGGAGGTGAGAGGGATGTAGCTTAGGATGGGGTAGTCTCTCCCAGCTCGACCTGTGGGAGTGTAGTTCATGAATCAAAACATCTCCTTTTGTTACATAATTCTCATATTACTCAGTGAGGAATGAGCACCTATTTAGGGTATGTGTTACGGAATTATTGTCTGGTTATGAAAAAGATTGCAAAAACTAAGCTCACCCAGTCAACTGTACTGCACTATATTGTACTCTTCACGGATTGGTAGATAAAGGAAGAACCATATGCTGTGTGGTTGATATCTCTTTTATCATTTTATGTATTTATTTTTACGACAATACATGTAAACAAATATGAAAGATTACTATAAATTAAACAATATTAAATATAATATGCAGAAACCTTCCTAATAACTTAAAATACAGTACCCGTATATCTAATCAAGACGAATCTAGGTAAATTTCTCGAAATCAATTGCTCGACAGTAAATTGCTCGAAATAATTTCTCGAACTCGACAGTAAATTGCTCGAAATCAATTATTTAACGGTTGAATACTGTAGCAGTTCGAAGCTCGAAGCACCACGTCAGTTGAGCACTGCGCCTGCGCCGTCTAACGACACGTCAACGTAGCAGGTTATATAAGGAGCCTCAACACTCGCCTTAGCAGTCAGTCTTCTAGGGCTTTCTCTCTGGGCTGATATTGTACATTTTCTGGATTTAACATTAATATAACACCAAGAAAACTTCAATTGTTTCCATCAACCAACCACAAAAATAATAAAAATGTACCCGTTCTTATTTTAAACTATGACGAAACAAACAATGTAGAAGAATATTTAAGAACTGTTGTATAATAGAAATGTACCCGTTCTTAATTTTAACTGTTCAATTAACAATAATAAAGTTGTACTTTTTTGTCTTATTTTTGGATATTTTCGAGCAATCTGCCTTTCGAGCAATTGATCGTTCGAGATATTATTTTTCGCGCAATTGATTTCGAGCAATTTACTGTCGAGCAATTGATTTCGAGAAATTTACCGGATACCAATCTAGACATATGTTTGATGTCATATTTTTCTTTTAACTCTAATCTTTTTTTGCTACTACAAATTATTGTCCACAAGTTGCAAAGTCGACCTTATGAAGAGCAACTTTCTCTTTTTTAGCCAGCCAATCCTCAAAATAACTTACAAAAATATAAATGAGAAAAGAATATGATCTTTTAGCATCGTGCGGTTACCTTATATGCTAAAATAATTTAGTGTTACAAAATGAGGCCATGAATTCAGTTTTGTATACAAAAACAAATCATCTTACCTGGGATGCCGGCAATATACCCAAAATCGAGGATCTCATTGTCAGGGATGTAGCTGGGGTGTCTGCTAAGGTGGTGAGGTCTTCGTACTGGCGGATGATATGGTGCATAGTCGTAGTCATCGTAGTAGTAATAATAGTCATCGACGTCATCGTAATAGTAGTAGTAGTCATCATCGTTGTCATCGTAGTAGTAATAATAGTCGTCGTAGTCAGGCGGGTAGTGGGGCGGGTCAGTCGGAGGATGACGTTGTAGAGGTTCGGCACTGATGGGAAGATCGTTGTACCCGGGTTCATAGGTGGTAGGAGTGTAAACAGGTGGAGAATAAGTCGAAACCTCGTTGTGTCCTGGTGACGAGGAAGGGCGGAGATTGGAGAACACTCGACCAATACCAGGATGACTGAAATCCTGTAGATTTTGCAGTTTAGTGTCGAGTGTAGGCTTGTAGGTGGTGATGCGAGAGCTTGTTGGAGGTGCTGTAGGAGTACGATGAGGAACAGGAGTCTTTGGAGGGACATAATCTGGCTTAGATGTAGTGAGTGGATCGTAGTCAGGTTTTGGGGTCTTCGGTGGAATGTATTCTGGATTAGGAACAGCGGGGGGAATGTAATCTGGCTTAGATGTAACTGGTGGAGCGTATTCTGGCTTAGGGGCAACAGGGGGGATATATTCTGGCTTTGGAATAGCAGGAGGATCATAATCTGGCTTAGGGGAGGCTGGAGGGATGTAATCTTGTCTGGGGGAGGTTGTAGGAACATATGGAGGGCTGACTGTTGTATGAGGCATGATAAGTACAGTGGTGAGGTGTGGTTTTGGAGTCGCTGGTGGGACATACACTGATTTTGGGTGAGGAGGAGAGTCTGTCTTGGGGAAGGATGGCAAAGCATGGGAAGGTTCTGGGTGAGTCGGAGGGTGATAGTCTGGCTCAAGATGTATTGGAAGAACATAGTCAGGATCAGGGGGGGCCAAGGGATGATAATCTGATGCAGGACTTACAGTGGGAGCGTAATCAGGCTTGGAGTAAAATGGAGTAATATAATCCGGCTCTGGATGACTGGGAGGATCGTAGGTTAAGGAAGGTGGTGGATGGGTTGTTATGGGGCCATCATAACCAGCTGGAGCGCGATAGTCAAGATTGGGAGGGAGGTAGTTAACTGATGGCTCTTTGGTCGGCGGTAGGTAAGTGGGGTCGATGGGGAGATGCAAAGGTGGAGGTGGTGGTGGGATATAAGAAGTCTTGGTTGTTGCTATGTGATAATCTCTTACGGGAAGTTCGGGAGCACTGAGAACATCCGGTGAAACTTTGGGGGGAACATAAACTTGGGCAGAAACCGATCTAGCAGTGGTGGGGAGGTATTCTCTGAGGGGTGGCTGGTAGATTCCCACAGGAAAGGAGTAAACTGGGTTTGGTGTCGACTGTGGATTTTCAAGAAGGAAATGGTCGGGTTCAGGAAGATGGTACGAAGTCTCAGGGGGGTGGTATACAGGTTTAGGGGCATAATATGTAGCACCAGGTGATTGATAGACAGTTTCATAATAAGCTGGAGGTTTTGGGCTTGATGAATGCTCCCTTCTTGTGGAATGGTCTGGGTGATAGCCTGGAGGTGGGGTCGGATTTGGGGCATAACCATGAGGCTCATCTTTGTATCCTGGAGGACTATGGCCTTTTTTAATGCTCACCAGCCAATCAGGTAAAACAGTCCCGTGTGGTACAGGTTTCGGTGGCAAATAATCCTTGTTCGGTGGCTGGTATCTCTGTAGGGGTGTTTCGTAAGCAGTAGCTGGTAACGTAGGGTGATGTGGGGGTGCATATTCTGAGGCAGGAATTGGTGTGTGGTAATTGCGATGGGGCGGTAGGTAGGTTCTTGCAGGGAGTGTGTAAAGAAGTGATGACATTGTGGTCATTGAAAAAGAGTCTGAATGGATATGCGAGTCTTCACTCTTTGGAGGTAAATATTCTTTACTAGGTGGCACATACGTTTTTCCAGGTGGAGTCTTATACTCCACTGGTGCTTTGGTAGGATGGGAAACTCCAGGAATGTGAGGGGCGTCAGGCTTTGGAACTATGTATTCTTTATTAGGTGGAAGATAGTTTCTTGTTGGGGGAGTTGGACGTTTCCTGTGCTTCCTTCTTCTATTGCCCGGTCGACGTTGTCGGTGAGGGGGTCGTCCACTCCCCGGTAACCTCCGCTGCGGCTCAAAGTCTATATTTGGTGGAAGATATTTTCTGGGCGGTGCAGCATAACCTTCTCCTGGAGATTTGTGACCTATGGATGGTAGATGAGGTCTTTTGGGTGGCGCCATATATATTCTAATAGGTGGAAAATGGTTTCCAAGCTGTTCTTTGTGAACTTGGCTGGGAGTATTATGTTCACTTTTTGTAGAACCATATTCTCTGGTGGGGGGAAGGTACTTGCGCGAAGGCTCATTGTAGGTCTCATTTGGTGGTTTTGGCTCAGGTTTAGGAGCCTCATATCCTTGGTTGGGTTGTTGATACTTCGGCTGAGGAGGAGTCTGAGTCTTCAAAGAATATTCATACTCACTTTCAGGGGCATCATATTCTTTTTGAGGTGGCAGGTACGTCTGCGATGGCTGAGTGTACGTCTCGTTCCTATGTGGTGAAACTGGGGCAACATATTCGTTACTGGGTGGAAGATACTTTTGAGGAGGTACGTAATGGTCTTCTACTGGGGGCTTGTATTCAGCTTTTGGTTCCTGATGCAGACTCACTGGAGGTATATACTCTTTATTTGGTGGCAGGTAATGGTCGGAGGGTTTAGTGTGGTTCTGTGTCTTTGCTTTGGACGGTGTGGATTGAAGGGGAATATACTCAAGCTCTGGAGGCAAGTACGTTTGTGGGGGCTTTTTGTAACCTTCTGTTGTAGCAGCAATGCTACTGGCATGATCAGGAGTGGCTGTAATGGCAGGTATTAAGTGGGGTGAAATGGAGCTGATGTCGGGGTAGGCCTCGGTAGTGTAGACCCTCTGTGTTGTCGTGGAGTGTTGGCCGGAGTCACCCTGGGGTAATGCATCTGTCCTACTATACTTGAAAGAGACGGGTCGCCGATACTGAAGATGCGCTTGCAGACTCACACGCTCTGGTGCAGGTGTGAAGTAGTGAGGTCCACCAGCGGTTGGTCGGCGAAGAAGGCCGTTCGTACGACGACGCTGACTACCTGGTGGACGTCGAGGAGGCCGGAACACCAGACTAGATTTGTCGGTCCCATGGTTCCTGTTGAGAGGGATGTAAGGTTTGGTTATGCCTTTACCTGCATTATCTGTATACCCTGGCGTTACCAAGGCTCCCAGAGGGACATACTCTGGAGATTTAGGCAGGACATACTGCTGGAACTTTCTGTCAGCAGCAAAGCCATAAACTTCGTCAGAGTAGCCAATGGTGGGCCTGGGGTGAGGCTGCTGGAGGTCCTTGGGCGTAACCGAAACTTCTGTTTCGTAGATGTCTGGGATTCCTATGTCAAAACGGGTACTGCCAGGCTTCCTGGAAGGTAACCAAACGTCATCATACATCGGTAAATACATGAGAATTCAAGAATGGCACGTAAAAGCAGCCATACAAGTAATATGTGTGAGGTAGAATCTGGTTAAAAAACAACACAAGTTTACAATACAGAAATGTTATTCAGAATGATAAAGGAATGAGTAACTTAATTATAGGAACAGTATTTGAAACATTCACTTTCAGTAATTACAAACTTAATATTTTGACACTTGTATTAAATGCTTAATCACAACTTATCTTAGATTTAACATTACATGGTATGTTTCACTGCAATTAAAATCTACTTTGATACTAGTGTTATATGTTCCATTAAAACTGAGTACCCTGGTTCAGCCACGGTGACACTAACCAAATGCTTTATGTATGTAAAGTTTCAGGTTTCCAACTGCTTCATGTTTTGGAGCTGTGGCTAGAACAGACAATCTTACTCGTTTTATTATTATTATTATTATTATTATTCAAATGGAGAATACTGTATTAAGATAATCTTACTTGGACGTATAAATGGAGGGTTTCTTCTTGAGGCGGTAGCGGATCCTAGAGGGAAGGGGGGCATTGAAGGAGGTTTCTAGGTCTTGCAGAAGTTGCTGCCGGAGTTCCAGAGTCTCGTTAGCAGACATACATATCGCCGATTTCTGCAGGTGTGTATTAAGTGTGTTAGCAGACATCTAGACACTCGTTTAGAACGTACCACTGATCAAATTGTACAACATTTATAGTGAAGCGCAATTAATGAAACTTGAGACCACACAACTAACTCTATGACGTCAACTTACCACACAACTAACAGTATGATGTCAACTTACCACACAACTAACTGTATGATGTCAACTTACCACACAACTAACTGTATGATGTCAACTTACCACACAACTAACTGTATGACGTCAACTTACCACACAAGTAACAGTATGATGTCAATTTACCACACAACTAACTGTATGATGTCAACTTACCACACAACTAACTGTATGACGTCAATTTACCACACAACTAACTGTATGACGTCAACTTACCACACAAGTAACTGTATGATGTCAACTTACCACACAAGTAACTGTATGATGTCAACTTACCACACAAGTAACTGTATGTCAACTTACCACACAAGTAACTGTATGATGTCAACTTACCACACAACTAACTGTATGACGTCAACTTACCACACAAGTAACTATGATGTCAACTTTCAACCCCATAATAAGAGCTGACGGCTAACATCAGGAGTTGTCAGATTACATTTATTTTTTAAACTATTACCAAAAACTATGTTAATTTAATGATGAATGACACTTGAGGGAGGATTAAGTAAAGTTTACGATAGTTAAAACTACGTTTTAGTTTCGGCAGCTGGTGATGACATGTAGTGGCGTTTGTCGGTATATTATTCACCCCTATTACATAAACAAACGTGTTGTCGTTCTCTCTTTATATAAACAAAAATTATCTCCTTCCCTTTATTAATTCATGATTTCATTATTAATTATTTATCTAATTTTTTACACTCGTGGAGAGGAAGAAGGATCGTGGCTCGGACGGACACCCACCACTTAAGATTTTCCTTCATAATCCGAATGATTATGGGTTAAGTCACAGATACTGGTACTAAGACCATTTTGTAAGCTTGAAGTGGTTTTTAAACACGGGTTTAATTCAGTGTAGGGTACTCACCTGGGTGTTACAGATGACATCTTCCCCAGGTTGGTAAAGGAATTCCTCAGGTGCAGACACTCGCGTTACCACCACCTAAACCGAACAACACTCGCTGTACTAATTCCAAAAGTTTGATGTCCTCAACAACAAACCAAAATAATGGTATACTTGACTGTCAATAATATGCGTGAAGAAAAATCAGTCATGGCTGTTTACCTTATTGGGCAAAACTTACAAATACTGTTAATGCTAAATGCTGTTCAAGAACGGATGGTTTTGATACAGAAAGTGACAACTATCAACACATCGAAATATCTTCTACACTTGCTGATTTATATTTCACCTTAGATGCGGCCTCGTTCTGACTGCTGTTGGTGGTCTGTTCGACTGCTCCTCCCTTAGTACCACCGTCGACCCCTACTGCTGGTTCTCCTCCCCTGTTGACGCTCTCCAGATCCTCACCGCTCCCGAAGATCTTATTGGTGAGTTCTTCAAGGAGGCTTGTATTCTTGAGGCGCCAGGTAAGCAGGTCCTGGGTACTGGAGGTGGACTTGAACGTTGGAACCGAATCCTCATCTACCAATAACATGCGGGAGGTAGCGACATTCGGGGAGGAGTCACTGGCAGACTCCGCCCCATTACCAGTTACTTCTTCCTTTTTACCTTCCTTTATGGATTCATTTTTTGTTCTTTCTCCTTTATCTTCATATGTTGTTCCATTCTCTTCGTTGTCACCTTTATCGTTATTTTCCGCAGACATTACTTCAATATTGGTACCTTCTTCATCTTTTGCTTCAATGCTCAGTTGTGTTGCAGCGTGTAGTTGGTGGGTTGCTGGCGCCACGGTGTGGATAGCAGCTGCCCAGTTCTCCAAGGTGAGCCCCACTTCACTCTTCTCCCCCAAAGTCCCGGGGACTCCATTTCTCACCAAACCTGCCACATATAATGACATTTATGTTTCGTCTGATTTAACTTTAATATTTAATTAACTGTCAAAGGTAAGAAAACATTAGACAATTGTTTCAAAATAAATTTGGTTAATAATAAACATAAAACAATGAAATATACACCAAAATATTCATACTGTATATGGATAAACCGAGAGACAAGTACACTGTATGATAAAAGGCAGACAGAGGAAATAACTCACCCAGCAGGAGCAACAAGAGACACGCGCCGGCCATCCCGTCTCTGCTCGCCTCACTTACTGTAAACGAAAAGTTATTTATTTTGTTGACGAAACGTATTGTTTGTTTTAGATGGTGCCGTACGCGTCATGGGACACTAAATTCAAGTAACTGATCAGAGATTAACTCTTCGTAGTATATCAGATAATACAGTGACAAGGCGAATCAATAAATAAAATCGCTAGCTTTGATAATTACTGTACCTGTAGGGGACCCACCTGGACACGTTAGTGCGTCATCAAACTTGGAACCCGAGGAACCTGCAACACCAAACACACTATATGAACATTACTGAAGTATTTGGAATTTGTCTACTGAATATTTAAATAATCATATTCACACCTTTTAGTCGGTTTTTACACTGTTACCCCTGTATTTCTCTTTAAAAAAAGAACATGCACACAATCATCGTTTCTGTATCACACACAAACATAAATGTACAATCGTTTATTTTTATCTTCCAAAACTAAATTATGTTCTACTATGGCTTAAGGATCCTTATGAAAGACCCAGACCCATTGAGTACCTACTGTAGGCGATAGAGTGAGGTCGAGGTTTTAAATGAGAGGGGGAGAATCTACGACAGTGAAAGAGAGAGGTACAGTACAACACCGCCATATCCCCACACGCCATCTGGCGTGGTCCAATTGCCTCCTCCTTCACTTAACACCAACCACACTCCCTCCCCGCCCCCAACACCAACAGTCCCTCCACGTCACTAATCTAACATGTTATCACCCCCTTAAAGTTTCTTCGTTATCAAGTAACCATGCTCCCTCCCGTGCCTCTACACCACCAGGCCCTCCTAACCGCTCGCCTCCACACAAGCATGCCTTCCTAGTTAAGTTATGCCGCCACTTTTATACTACGTTACATGTAATCTAAATTTACATTCTAAATTATGTTCACACATTAAGCTTATTCTACACTTCATGGCCTTTAAGTTCATGCTTTATCTAAGTTTATGAAATTTCTTCTAAAATTAATTTAAAGTTTTACCGTAAGACGTATTCTAATTCTAAGAGGTTGCCGTATGCTGAAGTACGTTTATCCCGGGGGAACTATAAAAAACACTTAAATCTAAATAAGTTAAGTACAGTACAGCACATCTTACTCTCGTACTTCCTCTCTTACATTCTTTCACTTCTTCTACTGTATATCTTCCTCTCATTCCTTCACTTCCTATTTCTCTATCTCTCACCACTCCCTTACACTTCTCGTTATGGACCAGCTCTCCTCCCCGAGTCCAAACAATGGCCACAACAGCAGCCGATGGTAAAATATAATAATGTTGTTATCCTATAGCTAAGTGATAACCATTAGCTCTGTCAGTGGCTGTACAGTCCATCACTAATACCAGTCTTTCTCAGGGCCGAATTCAGGAGTGGGCAAAGCGGGGAGCTGCCCAGGAGCCTCCACAATCTGGGGGCCTCCACATATTACAATATTTTATTTATTTGTTTATTCATTTGGATTATTTTTATTTTCATTATTTGCGTAGAGGTTTATCTGATTAATAATGCAAAGCGTCATCTCTCTGTAATAACTAATAATATATTCTTTTCTGTGAAGTCTCTTGAAAATTTTTGACATGTGCGGTAGTAGCTATATCAGGGCTGGTCGACTTGAAACCACATGAATGACTCCAGTCATGTCTCACTTTTGTGTGTGTGTGTGTGTGTGTGTGTGTGTTGGGAATTTGTACACTATCAATAAATATACAGTTAATTAAAAATGTCTCAATGTTTTAATTTCCTCAATATAACTGCATATGGCTTCAAAATTCTCCAAAGAAGTGTTCAAATTACAAAATTTTCCCGGGGGACTTACAGCGCCCCCCGGAACTCCCAGATGTTTAGGCTCGCTTTACTCGCCACCCCACCCTCTTGGGTAGTTATAATGAGGGGGCCTCCACAAAGAGGCTGCCCATGGGCCTCCACAGGTCTAAATCCGGCACTGGTCTTTCTTAGTTGATGACTGGGATGGTGTTCATGTAAGATGGACCAGCCACAGTATCTTGCATGGGTAGTGAGTGAGGTGTAATGCTGACCATGTTCCGGGAGTTAGGTTAGGTGGGCGAAGGGTTCTTATATCTGAATGAGATAACGATTAGTTGTGTATATGCGAGTGACAACAATCCTCGTTGGTCAAGAGGTAGTAAATATTTTATAGATGGTTGGAAAATCAAAGGAATAAATTGTAAAAAAAAAAAGTTACATAAACACCTACCAAGCGAGATTTAACTTCTCAATCAAATTAATATCTTTACCTTGTGTGGAAAATAAATGTCAATCATGTCATCGAGCATGTTACCGCCTGAATAGGGACTCCAAAACTAATTATTTATTTTCATTCAGAGTCGATGATTTTTGACCAGGATTAAAGTATGGCGGCGGCGTCATCTTCGTCATGTATAAACATTCTGTGTTCACGCCCGCTTGGAGATAATACTCACTGATTTACGTTATAAGCATGAGTCTCACAGTGTCACGCCTCGAGTAACTTAAAAAGTGTTTCTTCCAATCAGATGAGGTACAATTGTGAGCTGATATCTGGTATTAGGTTATTTTGTCTAGTAAATAATTTGTGGCAACTTTCCCTTAGTCATGGTTAAAAGAGACACAGATAAACGTGTTAACAGACGGTAAAAAAAATGACTTCGTGTTCCTCATGATTTTCTTGCCATATAAGCGTCTCCTATATATATATATATATATATATATATATATATATATATATATATATATATATATATATATATATATATATATATATATATATATATATATATATATATATATAACTGATATGCCGATTATCTAAATTGCCAAGAAGTTGCCGTTTTTAAGAAATTTTGACCGCGTGAATTTAGGGGAACTTGCCGGTCAAATTTGATCATTGCTACACGGTTTTGGGAGTTCATGTAAAGTATTCGGTGACATTTAGGTCATCATTCCCCACAAGACTGTCATCCAAACACTGGCCACATCTTACTGCCTTATACAATCAAGCGTTGACGAAATGTTATTACAATTTACAACCCTTTAGGGTAGTTTTTCCGTCCTGTCTCTCTATTTGTCTGTGTCCCCCCATAAAAACTAGAGAACGGGCTTATATATTTGACGGTTTTGACCACCATCTGACAAAGTCCACATGATAAACTTGATCTACATCGCAACAAAGTTGGCCAAGCGTTGCCTCGGTTAAACAGTTTTTAGTGTTCTAAAGAAACCGGTGACACGAAGCACTCTCCAACGGTGACTACATTTACAGTGGTTTTTAAATCACTGAGGGCGTAATCAGTCAAACTTTAAAAACAAGATGGCGTATACAGTAATAAAATTGCAAGGAGTACTGGAATCACCAGGGTAACTATTTGACAAACTAACTGTACTGTATTGTAATGTACTGTACTGCGTCAGCTTCCACTCTGATATCAAAACGTACTGTACCTGGAGAAAAAAAAAAAACGTTACAGCTATCCCGTGCTAACTTTGGCAGCAAGTTAACATAGAATGGACATTAATCGAACTTTGAATTCGTTCAAACCATCTTGCGAGTTTGGTCCTGGGCAGAGGAAGACGCTACGAAACCTATACTGTATATTACCAGCGTGGTGGGACTAAACTGATCCACCATATGTTATATATTCTTGACTATTTGGTTATAGGTTTAAATGCTTCAGTATTTTTTTACCCCACTTTACCAACATAATGGTCTGTACTGTACTAGGGCGTAGTCAGATTTTAAGTCATCAGAACAATCTTGCATGTTGCGTTATAGTCTAGTCTCATCCCGGAACTTGTCTTTCCTTTGTCTCAGTGAGCGTAAAAGAGAAAGGATGAGTGATTTATTATACTTAGTAAGTGGCAGAAAGGCAGGGTGACGCAACACTACTACAGCTGGATTGTAAGTGAAAACTGGAGTACCTGTGTGTATGTGTTTATCAGGATTTGTTCACCCAAAACACCAACAGTACACCAAGGTTCACCAGTAACAATCTGTAGGAACCTGCATCATTACCCTATACCGTGACCAATAATACCAAGCACCACTTTCACCAATGTCATTTATCACTGAGAATAGAGAACAGAAAGTGATCGATGGGCTCGTTGAGATCTCTGAAAGCCTCATACTACTGACCAATAAGAGATAACCTTATTTTTTAGTTCGAAAGATGATTCTTTTTTTTTTTCAAATACGAAGATTCTGGTCATTTCCTTTTTATTATGTTAAAAAAAGATCTCGTGTAGATGACAATAACTTAAATCGATAAGCCTATTATTATCCTCCCTCCCCCCCAAAAAGTCAATTACTGATTGAAATATTTTTTGCCAAAGACCAGGCCTTTCATCAATTAAAATAAACAATTGTCTTTATGGATGGTCAACACCTCGTATATAAAGGCCACAGTATTCATTTAAACCTCACAGAACAGAACAGAACAGAACAGTATTGAACCATCATACGAACAGTCAAAAAATATAATATATAAATCAAAAAGAAGGAAGAGTTTATTGCTGAAACGTGAGTAATTTTGTTGGAGAAACATACAATCAAGTGAAAGTCTTCTGACAACGTTTCCATAAGACTACACAGTACAGTACAGTTTCTGAAGTAAATCATCAGTTGGCCTCCATCACTCACTGTCTGAGTCTCTAAGAGGTGTTGTCTGACATTCTCTCTCACTAGTTGTCCACAACTAAAGCTAACTGGTGTATAAAACTCATATAAATGAAAGTTAAAAGCAAATCTAAACTTGTAAGTGCAGACGATGATGTGACCTACCCTACGTCGGTACACTGGGTTTTCCCGACTTCACCCGTACCATGGGGTACGGAGACACCCCATTAAAGAAAATTCACGTATTGTTATTAATTTGCAACATATATCCATATAGCTGTTTCACCATATTCTTCCACTCACTAGGGAGCAGATTGATTTCATTGTAGCTGTTATTTATTAATTTTTGAGTAAAAAATTGAAAAAATTTAATTTTTATTCGAATGCTCATTTATTTTGTGAAGGCGTACATAATTCTGCCTTAAATTATTATAATTTTTTCATTATCATGATAAAAAAGATGAAAAGATAGAAAATATTCTTTACTACATATCTAACTATATTTGGCAGTGTTGTGACATAAAAATGTTTCTTTACTTGGTTGGTTCTTTTGGGGTGATGCCACACCCCAGGAGGAAAAATGGCGTCTAGTCCTCACAAGCAGTAACTGAACTGAGCGACTCTTGCTGCTGCCTTC